GGACATAGGAGGAACGAATAGAGCCGCTCGAAAAGATATCCTATCTCGGAAAGGGGAAAGAAAAGCAGGGAACTTAGGGTACCGCAAAAGTAATCTACGATCCTAATTATAGCGGAGAGAAGGAGGACAAGCAGGCAACTCAAGGTACTATAGGAGTAATCTATAATCCTAATTATAGCGGAGAGAAGGAAGAAAGGCAAGCAAATCAAGGTACAGGTCTAGTAATCTATAGTCCGGAGACTAGCGAAGATTCGGATATACCGATTAGGCGGCGTATACGACAACTACCTCAACCGACAGCCTCTCCTAGACTAAGTAAAAGCCTCGCCGAAAGGAGGCGGGGACGTACGAAACTAGTCGCGAAAAAGTCCTATCTAGGGAATAAGAGGCCGATAGGGAGTCAACGGCCGTAGAAGAAGCCTATAATACGAAAGGCACCCAAAGCGAGAACTAAGCGACGAACAAAGCCTAGTATAGCTACTCTTCGCGAGATTAGGAGATACTAGAAGACGACCGAGCTGTTAATACGTCGACTACTATTCTAGAGGATCTGTCGGGAAGTTACTATAGATATCGTAAGTAAATCTTCGAGTAGTATATACCGGTTCTAAGCAGAGGCCCTCCTCTGTCTATAGGAAGCGACGGAAGCGTTTCTTATACTTGAGTTCGAAGTCTCTAATATACTTGCAATATATGCGAAACGAGTAACGTTACAGCAAAAGGATATAGTACTTTGTCGATAGATTCGGAAGCGCTTCCTAGGGGAAAATAACGGAAAAGATGACTTTTAAGCTTTTAGGAATCTGCCGACCATATCTGCCGACCATATCTGCCGACTATGTCTGCTAACTATGTCTTAGGGGAAGGATTAGGACTCCTACCGAGAAGACTTTCCGATAATATTTACTACCTATACCGACCGTACCTGCCGACCGTACCTACTAACCGTACCTGCCGACCGTACCTACCGACCGTACCTGCCGACCGTACCTGCCGACCGTACCTACCGACCGTACCTGCTAACCGTGCCTGCCGGTTACTCCCGGCAATTGAAGATTACGTACGCAAACCTTATTTGGATCTCGTATAAAGTGCGTATATGTTATTACTTAGGCAGCAAACAATCCGTAGCCTCTAATTGGCCGAGCGGTTGTCTCCCAACAATACAAAGTTACTCTCTACTTTAGAAAAAACCTAACTTACTATATTAACATTGCCCCCTTCCTTTCTCTCTCTCCTTACTACCTCTACTATACTACACTATACTATACTACCTCCGCTACACTACACTACACTACTATACTACACTACACTACCGCTACTATACTACACTAGCGTACTAATCTACTACAATAGCCTTAGCAATGTCGATTGCGTAGAAGCGCAAACAATCGATCGTACGCAAGACTCCTCGTACTAGTAGAAAGGGACTTCCTTCGCGTATAGGTAGTAAAAAGCTTCTAGGCACTCGTATTAAGAAGGGATACAGATATGCCCTAGGTAGTAAGTAATTCTAGAATCCAGATTTGTAGTCGGCATTTGTAGTCGGCATTTGTAGTCGGTACTAACTTTCTCAAAGCATTAGCTCTCAAAGAGATCAGGAAGTGCTAGAAGGAGAGCCTGCTCTATATTAAGAAAACCCTATTTGCTAGACTTATTAAGGAGCTCGTTATAGATTAGGCTTATATACCTCTTCGCATTCAAGCAAGCGCTCTTAGCGTTCTTCAAGAATATACTGAGTCTCTCTTAGTAAGAATCTTTACCTATAAGTCTTCCTATTTCTTATTCTTTCTAATTACTTACTTACTTACTTACCTCCTCTAGCGGCCAACCTTTTAGCTATCTACGCTAAGCGCGTTATACTCTAAGGCAAAGATATAGAGTGTCTTCGCTCGCTTCTCAAGAAGTAGGGTATTTGGCCTAACGATTTCGTAGTCTGCCCTTACAATTCTAGTCCTATTAATCCCAATTTCATCTATATAGAGCCAAAGAAGAACAAGGCTACTAAGGCGCTGAAAGCAAAGGCTACGCCAAAATGTAAGCCTCTCCTAACTAAGCAGCCTCGACGAATCGTTAAAGACGATTCTGACGAGGATATACTAGACGCTACTCAGAATCCGACTATAGAAAACAATAATAGCGAGGATACTACTGCTCAGCAGGCAACTCTTAGTAAGTTACTCTTTTATTATTAATTATAATATACTAATTTAATAGCTTAGGATAATACTCCGCTACTCCTAGATAATAAGCAGGACGATAATAAGCAGGATGAAGATAAGTAGGAACAAGATAAGCAAGATCAAGATGTCTGAGATTAAGATATCTAAGGTCGAGACTTTTAAGCTAGTTATAATTAAGAAGAGCTAGATAATGATTCTAGCGATAATAAGCAAACTCTTAAGCAGAGGCTAGAAGCCTATGCTAATAAGCTAGTAGCGGCAGCTTACGCGCTTACTATTGCGAAAGAGCGTTTAGAAGATAGCTTACGCCTTGCTTAGGAAACTCTCGAGGGAGACGTAAAGAAAATTGCGCGTCAGTTTTATCGTTAGCAGCGGCTGAATTTCGAGGATTAACTTTGCGCTTATCAAAAGATACAAGACGCTAAGGTAGAGGCCTTGAAGCAGCAAGCAAAGGAGTAAGCTGCTCTAGATGCTTAGCTACTTACTAAGAACTAAGGTAGTTTCTATCCTTAGTATATAGTAGCTCATAACTATAATCAATTGGTTAGAGCTTCCCTTATTATTCTAGTAATCCCTTTTTGATTGGTATATATGGTCGGCATATATAGTCGGCAGCTGCAATAAACATAGAATATATTCCTATCAAATTCTACGCTCTAGGAATCAGGTAGTAGGTATATATCCCTTATTAATATTTCTTTCTACTATTTTGTAGGTATTTAACTCGTATTATATAATACCTATTGCAATACCTATTGGGTATATCTACTAGGTTTTTACCGTTAGGTTATACCCCGCTTATAAGCTGGGTACCTAGCTTATTTGTAGGGTTGGGTATTTAAGTTAGGTTGTACCCAACCTATACCCAACCCAACCTATGACGAGGCCTATTAAGTAATACCTATATAGTACTACTAGTCTATAGATCCGTAGTAAACGACTAATAGCCTTCGTACTCGAATCCGAGAGTAACGAGAATACTAAGCAATACGTTAATAACGGTATCGGCGTCGCCGGAGCCGTAGAACGTATTACTCTTAGTTAGGTTATAGTAACGCTTACGATTAAGTCGGAGTTCGTAAAGCGAGAGCTATCGGTATATAGTACTATATAATTCGTTCGTAAGTCGATACTACGCGGCCTATACTACGGCTTTACTAAAGCTAGGTATACGTATCTCGTAGACAGCGTAAACGGACGGATTTAGCGCTAATTCGTATATATAGTCGAGTGAATTAACGGTTAGCTACTACTATTTAACTGTCGTACCTTGCCTTACTTGTACGTAACCTAGTCGGCAGTTCTAACCGTACCCCCGCTATCGTATATTCCTCGCGTTACGGACGCGTAGATTAAGTGATTCGTCGTCGCTATCGCCTATATAATCGTCGAAACTGTTATTGTTTCTAGTAGTAGTTCTATAGTAAATATACTTATATATAGCTCGGCTTATATTACTAGACATACAGACAACCGCAAACCCTTTACTAAACGCGTAATCCTATAGCCTAGCCTTATAATAGTCGGGATTTCGGAATATCTCGCTAGTACGTAGATACTTATAATAGTATAGATCTATAGTATCTATAAACTCGCGGACAGCCGGTATACGGCTCTCGGCAAGTAGTAAATACGGAATCTACGTCGGATAGGGCCGTAGTGCCGGTAGTTCTATATAGAAGACGGATAGTAAGTAAAACTTAACCTTCTTACCGCTATATCCTTTGTCGACGGTTACTTCTATAGTAGCCGGCTCCGGCTGCTACTATAAGGCAGGGTGTTTAGGCAGCAATAACTTAGCGCTAGCGTTACCGGCGTTGCCGGCGTTATCGTCGACTATAGTATCGTCGATTATAATAGTATTAGAGGTACGCTTGCCTTAGTACGGCTATATCTATAGACTAATCGGATCGTCCGGCGCGTCCGGCGTAGGTAACTTATTAAGTATACTAGTATTATTCTACGCTAGATCGTAACTGTCCTCCTTTTAATTAGTAGGTCGATTAGGGAATAGCTCTTCTAATATCTTAATATAGCGGAAGCCGCTCGGTAGTATAGTAAACAGTAAAGATAGATCTAGCAGCCGGAAGCTCGTATTAGTATTGTCGTCGTCGTTAACAAATAAAGTATTATTTAGGCCGTTCGGGTCGTTTATAGCCGTTGTTTTGTAGTTCGTTATAGTACTTATAAGCTAAGAGCCGTATCTCGTACATTTGTAGGCCGAATCTAGTAATTTTCGTAGTATAGTATTAGTATAAGTATATAGAAGCAATTAGAGAGGTATATATATACGTATCGGTACGTCGAAGTAAAGATATTCAGTATTGTAGGTATTATAGGTATCGTAGGAAAAGTCTGTATAGCAAGTAAGGTCAACCGGAACTACGTTACTCCGCGCCGAGCTATAACTCACACGCTGCGCTGTAACTCATATGTGCTTAGTCATCCGGAAGCCCACCACACGTGCTTAGTCATTTCCGAATCGTCCTTTCAGATCGTCCTGTCCCTTGACACTTGCCTGACAAGCTATCTACCGGTTGGCGTGATGATGGTTCTGGTCGTAGGGGGCCTTGGTTTTGTGCTCGTGCGTGATTATTCTACCTCCTCCCCCACTACTACTACTACTACTGATATCACACACGGCCAAGGTTGTGTACTCTGGTTTGTGCAGCGACATGTTATGATGATGTATGAACAGATTCTCGATTTTATCCCAACTCATAGTGACGGCACGGAAATGTACAATTTTCGACGACATCAGCATAGTGGCATGTTTACTGGAATAATCCCAGGCAGTAGAGGAAGGGATAAATATCAGCCCACATACCATTTGACTGATGCGAATGATTGTTCCACTGCTACACTCGTCAGTTGAAGGCATAGCATCATCATCTCCCGCGGAGCACCATCTACATCAGAAAACATGTCCAACTACATCACCACTCACAATGCCGAAGGCAAAGCCATCTTCTCCCCAGCGTCTGCCCCGCATCATACGCTCCCCATGCAGCCTGGGGTAGACCCCGAGGTAGCGGGACTCAACATACTCTACACCACCTACTCATTCCCTTCCAATCTCTCCACCGACAAAGACATTGAGCAGTATCAGATCGACAGGACCACCGGGATGGCACCTGGACAGCTTTCTCAAACGGGAACTCTGTCTATGATCATTACCATGGCACCCGATTCGACAGCACCAATGCATCGGACCATGACCTTGGACACCATCATCATCTTGGAAGGGACTGTCGAGTTGCACTTGGACTCGGGGGAGACGAGGACGATGACTGCGGGCGACACCATTGTCCAGAGAGCCACGATGCATTCGTGGAAGAATGTCTCGCCGAACGGCGGGAAGGTGAGGATGATGGCAATGGCCCAGCCCATTGTAGCGCCTTTGGAAGTTGGAGGCAAGAAGTTGGAGACGGAGTGGATGATTTGAGTGCGATGCAGACTTTTTTGATCGTGCCATAGTCCGTCAGTCGGAGGTCGGTTCAGATCGTGTTGATCCAATCTCCCAAGTAAGAAAGAGAGCGAGTGTATAGCATTACCATGCCTCTTCATTCCTGCGTTCTTCCATTTCCTACAGTGTAGACAAGACACGTTTTTTCAGCCTCGGCCACGTGACGCTGTCGACGTTTCCGACCATCTCACAATCTTCCCGCTACTCTCATTGACGTGGTGTCCAGCGAGTGTATCCGCCCGAGCCCAGCCTCTCTTTCGTCGAAGGCATCGTGAGCGGACAAGGTGGATTGGTGGAAGACGGGCTTCAAGGCGTGGAGAGGGTCGCGGTGTTTATGAGTCGTCTAGGGCCGATGGCCGAGTGCTGCTGGCGGGATACATTGGAGGGAGGCAGTGCTGATGTCGATGGAAATGATCGTGTGAGGTGGGTGTTCATGTTGTTGCGGCCGAGAGCTTCCACCTAGGTACAGATGCAGATTTCGTCATCGTCGGTTCGAAACTCCAAGAAGCTCTCCAAGCTGTGGCAAGTCGTTAGGTACATGTTTTTAAAGGCCGATCTCACCCCATCTCCAGTCTTCTCATTTATATCTTCCAACTCTTCCAGGCTTCCCGTGCAATTTGGCTTCCAAGAATCTACAAGAACAGAGCAAGAAAAAAAAAAACACGAAAAACCAAAGCAAGAGCAACAAAACAGAAAACAAAACCAGCCCGTATCACCAAAATGCCTGGAAAGACATTAGTAGTCCTAGGAAGCGGCCCCGGAATCGGAGTCGCCATCGCGCAGACATTTTCCGTACGAGGCTTCACCCACATCGCTCTAGTCGCACGCAACAGCGAGCGTCTCAAGGAGGACCAGGACAAAGTCTATGATGCCATCCAGGAGCGAGGCTACTCGTGCCAGGTCAAGACGTGGACCTGCGACATGTCCGATTTGGATGCGTTGAAGAAGACTTTGGGAGAAATTGAAACTTTTGGTGGTTTGGAATGTGTCTTGTTCAATGCTGCGAGGGTGGCGGGTAAGCCGCCGCTTGAAGAGGATATTATGGCGATTGAGAGCGACTTTCGGGTGGGTTTCTACTCCCATCTTCGATGATGATGATGAGACGACGAGGCATGCTGATCTCAGGTGATGATATAGTTGACCAATCTCGCGCTGTACGAGACTGCTCTCTGGGCCATTCCCAAGCTCAAGGAGGTCAATGGCGATGATCGTGCGCCGTCGTTCTTCGTGACGAGCACTACCCAGCTCTGGAGGGAGCCCGTCTACGAGCTCGTCTCCCTGTCGATGGTGAAATCGGCGCAGCGAGCGCTGGTGCTCTCGCTGCATCACCAATATGGAAAGGATGTGCATGTCGCTCTGCTTTCTGTCGGTGGCGTAGTATCTCCAGATGCCAAGAACCTGAGTCCGGAAAACATCGCAGGCAAGGCGTGGCAGTTGTACAAACAACCACGCGACAAGTGGGAGAGAGAAGAGGCAATTGATGAGTAGTTGGCTCGGCTACCTGGAAGCTTTAGCTTTGTGTCCTCTCTACGTGCTAGCCTTTGTACTGAGTTTTCTTCTAGTATATCACTCATTCTCAAGCAGACGACCACCTCGCTCGTAGTCTGACATGTGTCCGACTATCCCTACCCTGCGGTCAACTCGTTCGAAGTGTTGCTTGGTACCTTTGATAGCATCCGATACGTTCAAGCCGGGACGTTGCTGTTGATGCTTGCTCGCGCCATCCGCCTGATGTAGAAGCAATGGGGTTCCAACTGGTTCCACTTGATCGAGAGCTTCCGACTGCTCCCATCAACGTATTCGCCTCATTGCCGCAAACGCCAAGCTGGAGATTGAGCTCAGTGCGGCACCGTCTGCACAATCGATGCGTTGACGTAGAGATGGTCTTTTTCAACCAAACTCAATACGCAGCCAGCGCTCCAAATATCGATACCCTCGTCCTAATCGTGACCTTCTTCCACCTCGGGGACACGTAAAGCGAGAGGAGTGACGACCTTCCCTCCCATCCCATGTCCGGACCATATCGCTGGATGGCGTATAAGCGTTCTCTCCTCGAGATCGTAGCATCGCGGCGCTTGTTGGGCCACTTTCCCTTGCGGGTGTGTGTATGCAACACAGATACGTCTGGTGTGAAGACTCCCGCAGCGGAAAAGAAAGCCAGGGACGTCCGACGAGACGAGCCGCAACCGAGCCGCCAACCGGTGGTATGCATCCCCCATCAGGGTCACCATCTTCCACAGATCCATGTATACATGAACTCGATGACTCTGGCAGATAACAAATATGCTGGCAATGCTACATGTTCTCAATGCTGCACCGGCTTTCAGGAGGATTTCCTTCTTCCGGCGCTTGGATTACTCTTACCCAATCCCGCAACTCAGTCGGCGGACGATGGCCGTTCAACCTCGCATTTTTCCGACTAAAGGCTTTGGTCTACTCCCGACGAATACCAGATTTGAGGAAGAGAGACTTGTCGGGTATCAAGCCAACGACTTCTATCCCGTCAGGCTAGGAGAAGTGTTTCAAGCAAGATATCAAGTCGTCGCAAAGCTGGGCTTTGGCACCGCTTCTACCGTTTGGCTATGCCGCGATCTCCAGTTGAGTGAGTTCTGGCGCTTTTCGGTATCTTTGCGCTAACGTCTAGAGAAGACCAGTTGCTCACTCTCAAGATCTGCATCAGTGGGGAAGGCCAGACACAAGAGGTGGCAATCTCAAATCACTTCAAGTCTATACATACTGAGCATCCCGGTAAATCGCATATGCGCATAGCTCTGGAAGATTTTGAGGCCAAGGGACCGTACGGAGTTCACCAGTGTCTGGTGTTCCCGTGCCTAGGCATGAGTCTGTCGAACCTGCGAGATTTGTTCGAGGACAGGTCTCTCGACAAAACTCTGCTGCAAAAGTTCTTGCTTATGATCTTGACTGGATTGGACTTTATGCACCAGGCAGGAGTAGTACATACCGGTCTGTTCTCGAGCCCACGCGATTGAGGTATTCTGGCTAAGACGCAAGCTAGATTTGTCGCCAAACAACATCTTGGTCGGGGCCGACGACGCTACAATAGCGAAAGTTGAGCACGCTGAGATCAAAAGTCCATCGCCGCGCAAGGTATTAATGGATCGTACCATCCATCTGTCTTATGCTATGCCGACGACCTTTGACCCGCCAGTTATTACGGACTTTGGCGCTGCCCGTTTAGGAGAGCCCGATCAAAAGCACTCGGGCGATGTGATGCCAGCAGTTTTCCGAGCACCAGAAGTCATCGCTGGCATGCAATGGGACTCGAAGATAGACATTTGGTCTGTCGGTGTCATGGTACGAATCGACATGACCCTTGGAACGAACTGATCGCTGATGTACTCTACCTACATAGATCTGGAACTTGCTGGAAGATGGCAATCTTTTCGAGCCCTTCAAAGACGGCGAGCTTGATGATGAGTTACACCTCGCTCAGATGGTTTCTCTGATAGGAGCTCCGCCAAAGCAGTTCTTGGAGCGGAGCGAGAAATGTCGCAAATGGTGGAATTCTGAAGGTGAAATCTTGCTGAATAGAGGTCACGCATCTTTTTGGACTTTGCTGACGACTCCAGGTGTTTGGATCGGTGCGACGGCCATCCCTAGTCAGACTCTAGAATCGCGTGAGATACGCTTGAAAGGCCAAGACAGAGAATTGCTGCTCGCTCTCGTACGCAAAATCTTGAGATGGCTTCCAGAAGAACGGCCATCGGCGGAAGAGCTTTTCGAAGACGATTTCATAGGTCAGTTTATAAGTCAGGTTAAGCCTACCCCTTTATGAATAGGAATTGGTAGTATCGACTACGGCGCGCGAACATATAGACTTTACCCGCCGCCTAACTACAGATTATACCTAAAGTTCGATCGTATTTTAATATTCGGTTAGGTCTCCGAGGTATAACGGACAGCGGCCCTTAATTTAATACTCTAGTACAAAACATTTTAATATTCGGTTAGGCCCTAGAGGCCGAACGGATACCTTAATAGAGCCTCTACTCTTTTGTAACAGTTAATATACTATAGGTTAGCTAATGTTTTAGTAAGCTATAATAAAAAACGAACGGTATCTATACTACTAGTTATACTATATACTTAGTCGAGAATAGCCGCTTATATTAAAAGGAGCTACAAGTTATACAAACGGATTATAAACTATTAGTCGATTTTAAAACTAAGTAGCTTACTAGTATTAAGCAGTAGATATGTTTTTTTTATATAGGGTATTAGAGTAGAGCTAAGAGCTAGACAGCCTAGATAGGCTATACTACTTCTAGTAATAGGCTATATAGAGTACTTTTCTTCTTTTTATAATAGAAGATAGAATAGATATAATTAGAATATAGAGAGATATATATTCTACTCTACTATAATTAATATCGCTATCTTATAGTATACCTTACCTTCTAATACTACTCTCTTTATTGCCTATAGCTATCTCTATATCCTAACGGTTCTCTACCTATCCTATCTCTTTTACTATAGAGCTACGCTACGACCTACTATAAGTCGGGCCTATCTAATCGTCTACCTAAGGATAGCGATAGAAGAGAGAATATTATAGTAATAAATAGAGCCTAAATATAGGACCGGAGTAGGCCTCGTTATAGGTTAGGTTAGATATAGGTTAGGTACAACCTAACTTAAATACCTAACCCTACAAATAAGCTAGGTACCTAGCTTATAAGCGGGGTACAACCTAACGGTAAAAACCTAGTAGGTATACCTAATAGGTATTGCAATAGGTATTATATAATACGAGTTAAATACCTACAAAATAGTAGAAAGAAATATTAATAAGGGATATATACCTACTACCTAATTCCTAGAGTATAGAATTTGATAGGAATATATTCTATATTTATTACAGCTGCCGACTATATATACCGACTATATATACTAATCAAAAAGGGATTACTAGAATAATAAGGAAAGCTCTAACTAATTGATTATAGTTATAAGCTACTATATACTAAGGATAGAAACTACCTTAGTTCTTAGTAAGTAGCTAAGTATCTAGAGCAGCTTACTCCTTTGCTTACTACTTTAAGGCCTCTACCTTAGCGTCTTATATCTTTTAATAAGTATAAAGTTAATCCTCGAAATTTAGCTGCTACTAACGATAAAACTAACGCGCAATTTTCTTTACGTCTCTCTCGAGAGTTTCCTAAGCAAGGCGTAAGCTCTATCTCCGTTTAGACGCTCTCTCTTTACGCTTCGGAAGTCGTTCTATACTAATGACATCAAACTTTCGGATCGGAGATACTACTACCCGGACTCCTACGCTTTTCAAAGAGAGGGTCTAAGGACAACCTACGTATAGACAGGTATAAACTTCGTTATCTTTTTTTATATTTTTTAAAATTCAGAAGAGAAGGACAAGAAGAAGACGCCTGCCCGAAGAAGACGCCTACCCGAAGAAGAGGCCTACCCGAGAAGAAGAAGAAGCCCGGGAGGAAGAAGAAGACGCCTACGGCCTGCCCGAGAAGACGTCTGCCCGAGAAGAAGACGCCTACCTACCCGAGAAGAAGACGCCTACCCGAGAAGAAGGAGG